GTCATAACAAATATTAATCTACCATTGGATACATAGGTAGATAGGCAAATGATCAGATATGAATAGGCAAAAGGGAATATACCCATAAACTCACTGCCATCAAGTCAGATCCAACTCATAGCAACCCCTCCTAGAGTTTCCAAGGTGGTATTACTACAGAAGTAGATTGCCCAATCTTCCTTCCGAGGAGTGGCTGGTGGGTTTGAACTGTCAGCCTTCTGGCAAGCAGTCAAATGCCCTAGGCACAAATATACTCGTGGCCATATATAAGTATGGCAGATGATATTTCTACGTATGTATTTCTTTGTGCTGTAAGAATGTCCATATATATAATATAGCTAATACGAGGCAAAGTTATGATAACTTCTTAGCCATAGCCAAACACTGTGTGGGAGTGAGTCACTGGGCCCACGGGCTTGGGACCACGGTCACGGGAAGCATCAAGTTCAACTAGCATAACATACTACACAAAAACATTGCTCTACATCCTATTTTGGTGAGGAGTGACTGGTGTCTCAAAAGATTGCCAGCGGCCATCTAAGATGCAACAATTGGTCGCTCCTTATCTGAAGCAAAGAAGAATGAAGAAAATTAAACACACATGGAAACGATTAGTCCAAAGGACTAGCAAACCATGCAAACCTCAGTCTTCATGAACCTGAGACCAGAAGAACAAGATGGTACTTGGCTGCCACTGTCAACCACTCAGAAAGAGATCAAAATAGGAGATCCTGGATACAGAGGGAGAAAAATGTGGAACAAAACACAAAATCATAAAATAGACCAGGCTTACTGGTCTGACAGAGAGTGATGAAACCCCCAAGATAATGGCCCCTAGTCATCCTTGGGACCTGGAACTAAACTCACTCCTGTGGCTTCCAGCAAAGCAACAGACAAGCACATAAGGTGAACAAGCACAGCAGGTAGGTACATTCCTTAGAACAATCAACCACGGGAGATCAGAAGAGCAGCATTTGCATAGGGAGATACCTCAGAGGGCAGGAATATATAGGACAGAAGGACACAAGAGAAAGGGAAAAGGAAAAAGGACACAGAGAAAAAGTGAGAAGAGAGCTATTACAGTGTGGAGATTACAATCAATGTCATGAAACAAAATGTGTATGAACTGCTGAATGGAAAATGAATTTGCTCTGCAAACTTTCACCCAAATCACAATAAAATTTTTTAAAAAGGAAAAAAAAATAAAACTGGTTCAGGCACAGATGGGTACAGAACTGCTGCCCTTATTGGGGAAAAGGAAGTGTGATCTCTAAGACCTTAAACTTAGAGGATTAAACATTTTTCTCTACTTAACACACTTCAGAGGCTTTCAACACACTTGGTTGATACAGTGCAAGCTTTACATTCAAAGAGACCTGTATTTGAATCTGGGCACCACCACTTCCTAGCTGGTCACTTTCAGCAATCATTTCACATCTCTGAGCTTCAGTTTCCTCACAGGTATAATTTTTGTACCTTACAGAGTCTAAAGATTAGCCAATCTAGATAAAACACCTAGTTCAATGCCTGGTGCAGAGCAAGCCATCAGTAAATGATAGCTAGAATAATCAGAACTATTGCTATGAACCCTAACTCTGGAAGCTAGTGGGGCAGGCACAAGTACATCAAGCCACTTGTAACCCTGTTACTTTGGGGGAACCTGAAAGCAAGAAGTACGAAGTAAAAACTATTTTTTTTTTTTTTTTGCCATGCTTAAGAACAATAGTATACAATATAATTTCAAGATTCTGACCATTTTCACAAGTCTGGCACAGTGGCTGAGAACGTATGCTGTGGAGTCTATTGCATTATACCACTTGTTAGCTGAGAGACTTTGAGCAAGTTGCTTAGAAGAGATGTCCTTTCCTCAACTGTAAGTACAATACAGTAGTAACAGTCCTTCAAAGTACTTCATGGGGATCTTGTGAAGGTTAAATTAAATGAGATAGCCCATGGCATGCTCTCAGCATAGCATGTGGAAACAGTAAGTACTTCAAATGTTAGCTATTAGACTGCCCATGAACTTCCTGGCATCTCCAAAGAGATATTGCAAGTAGTCTGAACGGAACATACAACACTAATATGAATTTTAGATATATGTATTACTTTCCAAAGGTATAAAAATTCCAGTGTGATTAATAAAATTAATTATTTTAAGAGTCTTACAGTATCTTTTAAAAATAAGTAATGATTATTGAAAAATATTCAAATAGAGGAATATATAAAGTAAAAATCATGTTCATTCGGTCAACTGATGACCCCACCACCCCTTAACCACCAAGTCCACTTCCTAGGGGAAACTCCTGGAAAGCACTATAATGGGCACTCTTCAGATCCCTGTCTCTCATTATATATATGGAGTTTGGAGGCAGGGTCGGCAGATGGGTTTGTTTGTTGTTGTTTTTGTTTTGTTTTTTACAAAATGGGATCTTACACATATTTGTTTATTGAACAATATATCATGGATATCTTTCCATGCCAACACATAACATGTTAATTCATTCTTTCTAGCTGTGGCTTAGTGTTTCAGATGATGAATAAATAATAACTTATTAACACATTATTCTTGGAATTTAGGTTATCTTTAAATTTTTGCTATTGAAAACTCCACAATGAATACTTTCTTTGAAGGGCATTTAACACATGTGTGGGTATTTCTGTTAGACAGCTTCCTAAAAGTGGACCTGCTGAATCAAAGGTATTGAACATCCTACATCTTGATAAGAATTGCCAAACTGTCATCCAAAGAGGATGCATGCATTTTACTCTTCTGTCATTATATATTTTCTTAATAAACAGGAACAAAAAGTATACTATCATGGGGAGAAATTACAAATTTTCTACAATGAGAAGTGGCCTTCATCTTCAAACCAAGATGGCAACATAATATGGGAGAAGTCAGTACAATCAAGGCAAATGAAGTATGCAAGAATAAATGACAACTATGGTAAATGCTGTAACATATACTATCCTGCAACAGCAGTAATAACTAACAATAACATGTGAGTAGATACACAGGTAAATACATATGCTAAATAGGTGAGGAAGGTCATACAGGAGAACACCAGTGTACATATATAGATATGGTAGTAGATATTTCTACATACATATTTGTAAATGTTATACATATACTCATATATATATAGTAGAGCATATAGGTGCACAGTTATAGAAACTACTTAGACATCAGGACTGAACCACTGGACTTGAAGGCTAACACCCATAGTCACCCATAGTCTTGGGGGACATCTAGGTCAACTGGCAAAATATAGTTAGTAAAGACAATATTCTACACCCTAGCCTGGTAAGCTGTACCTGAGGTCTTATGGCTTGTGAATAGCCATCTAAGAAGCAACCAGTGGTCTCTTTCCACCTAGAGCAAAGGAAAGCCAAGAAAAATGAAGACTCTAGGAAGCAATCAGTCCAAAGGACTAACGGCCACATGAACCACATCCTCCTCTAACCTGAGACCAGAACTAGACAGTATCCAGCTATCACTACTGACCACTCTGAGCAAGACCACAATAAAAGGTCCCAATTAGAATGGGTAAAAAACACAGAATACAAATTGAAAAAGAAAAGACTAGACTTACTGGTCTGAAAGAGCCTAGAGGAATCCCATGATTACCTTCTAACTTGAAACTAGAGGTCATCTTTCAGCCAAATAATAGATGGGACTATAAAACAAACAATAGTATCTGTGAAATAGGTGCTCCTTAGAACAATCAAGTACACAAGACTTAAAGGGCAACATTTTCCCAATACCAAAGATGAAGAGACAGGAAGGGACAAGGAAACTGGATGACTGGAAACAGGGAACTCAGAGAAGAAGTAGGAAGAGTCCTGACACATTGTGAGAATTGCAACCAATGTCACAGAACAATGTGTATATGTACTACTGATTGGGAAACTAATTTGCTATGTAAAGAACAATGTTTTTTTTTTGTTTGTTTATTTGTTTTAAAGAAAAAAGATGGCAACCATGGCTCTGAGCCCTTACTTGATACTTCTCAGCATCTGAGCATCTGTGCTACTAAGCTCTCATTTTAACATTATTTAGACCTTGATCTCTCCTGCAATGACTTGGTTCATATCAAAACCAATTTTCTAATACATCCTGGTACGATTGGGACTGCTCAGTAAAAATCACATACAACTACAAAAGTCTTACAACTGCCTACCTCTAAATTCTTTTTATGTGGGATAATAAACTTTCTTAATTGTTTAAACTAACTTGATTTGGACAATCTTATGTGTGGCCCAAAGCATTCTGATACTCTTACTCAGCCCAGCACTTGCCATACTACTACTCACTCACTGCTGTCGAGTTGGACCCAACTCACAGTGACCCCTCCATGGGTTACCGAGGCAGTATCACTACAGAAGTAGATTGTCCACCTTCCTTCCCAGAGCACTTGCCACAGAGATCAATCAACCGTGCCATTACTGGAGCTATTATTGCCATTTTCCTCTACCCTCACCCACTCCTTTGCCCGGTACATAAAAGTCAATGAGGAGGACAGGGCGACCCAAGACCCAGAGCGCTGCTGTCATTGTCTAGCAGTCCTGCTAAGCCCCAATAAAACAGACTTCTATTCCATGCAATGTTTGCTTCATGCTCTACTTTGTTGTAATGTTTTAAAGCAGTGATGGATTAAAATCTCTTAATCAATAATCACCAGCCCACAGGTAGTTTACACGTTTCATTTTTATCCCAGCAATACCATTGCAGTGAGGAGCAAGAGCAGATAAAGGTCGTGCTGGTAATTAAAGCTATATTGTAGAAATATGCACACCCAAGATATCATTAAATAAGAAAATATTACTCAGTTCAGTATCATCATTAAACTTGCATTAATTTATAAATATTTAAATGTACCATATGATGATCATAAATAATCTATTTTTGTCAGTGTCTAAAGTAATGCAACCCATAAACCCTTTGAAAAATTACTGCAGAAAGAAACAGTCAAGAAAGACAGTATACAAGCCAGACTTACATTCAAATGCTGTGGTTGTTGCTTCAGGCAGAACCTGGCCTATCACATCCTAAACAAAGAAAAAATAAACACAATTAGCCATCTTCTTTATTACTAATATGGGGCAAATATTGGAGGAAATATGAGGACCTGGAAAAGATTTTTGAAAATGTTGGCATAAACTATAAAAAACATTAGCTCATAATCACACCTAGCCCAACAATGTAAGGCCAAAGTTTATATCTCTATTCCAGGGGGAAAAATCTTCAAGAAATCTTTTCTACTCTGTATTAATAACATGATCTTTCACTCTCAATTCAACAGTGTACATAAGCACAGTGTTGTGCACTTACCAAAAAAAAAAAAAAGATTTCTTCTAAGAGAGGCTGTGGGATATAACGTAGTGTAAAGAGTAAACGGGGTTTTAAAAGTCAGACTGGCCTGGGTTCAAATTCCAGCTCTGTACTTAGTAACAATGTGACTTGGAACAAATTACTTAACCCCTCTGAGCCATGGAAGAAATCTGGGAAGATGTACAGCCAGAATGCTTAGAAGGCAGGACGATAAGATTTTGTCTCATGTACTTTGGACATGTTATCAGAAGGAACAAGTCCCTGAAGAAGGACATCATGCTTGGTAAAGTAGAGGGTCAGTGAAAAAGACCTTCAACCAGATGGACTAATGCAGTGGCTGCAATAATGGGCTCAAACATAACAATGATTGTGAAGGTGGTGAAAGACCAGGCAGTGTTTTGCTCCATTCTACATATGGTCACTATGAGTTGGAACCAACATGACAGCACGACTCTGAGCCTCAATTTGATTATCCTTCAAAATAGGTCTAATATAAATAATATAATAACATATTATATAAATAATATAATAACATCATATAACATAATATTTATTTATAATGATATAAATAAATAATGTAATAACAATCAACTTTGGGCCTAGTGCATTGTAGATAGTCAGCAAATGTAGTTCTTGATATGTAACTAGCAAAACCATGCCTTGCACTCATAGTGCAAGGAATTTAAAACACACACAGTTCCATCACAATGATATAAATCTATACTGCTACATTTAATACAAACAATTCTTGTTGTTGTTGTTATGTGCCGTAGAGTCGGACCCAACTCGTAGTGACCCCTCCTTGGGTTTCCGAGGCAGTATCACTATGGAAGTAGATTGCCCCACCTTCCTTCCAAGGAGTGGCTGGTGGGTTTGAACTGCCAGCCGTATGGTTAGCAGTCAAGTGCCTTAGCCACTGTGCTACCAGAGCTCCTAAAAAGAGATGGCCCGGCTACCTGGTGGCTACCTGGCGGGGAGCTGAAGTGGGTTTGAACCGCCAGCCTTGGGTGTGGCAGCTGACTGCCAAAGGCCCTGAGGCCATCCCTGGGGGCCAAACAATTCTTACCAACCTTTATTATTAAGCAACTGAAAACATATTTAATGATACTGAAATAGAGTTAATCTTACCTGCAAAAAATAATCTAAAAAGTAATATCTAATCAGGAGCTCTGGTAGCACAGTATCTAAGGCACCTGATTGCTAACCAGAAGGCTGGCAGTTCAAACCCACCAGCCACTCCTCAGAAGGAAGGTTGGACAATCTACTTCTGTAGTGATACTGCCTCAGAAACCCAAGGAGGGGTCGCTATGAGTCAGGTACAACCCAATGGCACATAACAACAACAACAACAATCTGATATCAACACTTAAATGAACCTACAAAGTTGGAAACACTTCATTAGCCCATACAGGAGGCTTAATTAAAGAAGTACAGAAGACCTAAAAGAAGTGGTCAGTTCTGGGGAAAGTGACCCCCCAGTATGCCTACTCCAACCCAAATGGCCTGCAAACCTCATTTCTCCTGGGGTAGCTCAGCCACAGTGTCTCTCCCAGGCTGAGCCAGAACTGGCACCAGCCAGCCAGCTGACAAAGCCGCTCGCAGTGTTTCTCAGCAGGAAGCCCACAGCCCTTCCAAGCAGGGCACTTAGCAGAATGTCAGCTGCAACTTCCTTCTAAAGGCAGTTCTCCAGAAGCTTTTGCTGCAGTGGAAATTTGCATAATAGTCTTGCCTCTACAGTGCTTTTGTTTGGTTTGATTTGTTTTCAAAAATAAATCTGTGCATATAAAATTGATCAAAGAGAACTAAGATAGTACCTTAGGTAGCCTTCTCTCATTACAGCCAAAAGAGATTATATTTTTCTCTTGACTCTAGTCTTAGCAAATGAAACATCTCCTTTTTGAGGAAGAATTTGTAAAACATTTTGGTACAAAAAAATTCTTTCTACACGCTAGTAAAAAAGTACTTAATGACAGGTAAATGGAAACTGTAGAGCAAGTATAGAATAAACCATACAGGCAGTACTGGGTAAAGCCTGGGAGCATGCACTCTGGAGCCAAAACGCTGGGATGGATTTTGGCTCTGCACTCATCAGCTGAGCTACTGATCTTCTGTGCCTCAGTTTCCTCATGTGTAAAAGGGGATCATAGCTGTCCTTCCTTATAGGATTAAACAAGTTAATATTTGGGAAGTACTTAGGAGAATGTCTACCACATGGTGTCTGTTAAATAAACAAAGCAAATCACGGATCACTGGAATATCACAAACCTCAACCCACAATGAAACCTTAAATCCCAGCACCTGACAATCAGTGGTGTATCAGTAGATGATGGACAAGTCTTCATTTACTTCATCCTTCCAACAGCATTTATTAAGGATTCTTTCTAGCCAGTATAGATATCCACCTTCAAAGTCTCAAGTCTCAGGTGATAGAGAAATCCTACCATTCAGAAAACATATCTTGGCAAGTGACCTCTCCCGCCACAGTATTCCAAAAAAAAAAAAAAAACCCAGTGCCAATGACCAGATTGCACCATAGGGTTTTCAAGGCTGTAAATCTTTATGGAAGCAGACTGTTTCATCGTTCTCCTGTGGAGTGCTGGGGGGGTTCATTGACCTTTCTTTCGGGTAACACCTGAATGCTTTAACAACTGTACCACCACAGCTCCTTTCTATAACATTAGGTAACAAATTTAGGATCCCTCCTACGTATGATAGCAGACTCTCTCAAATAGCAAATTTCTATTAACCAGTCGAAAATCCTCCCAGGCAGCAATGGCATCTTTTGCTCATCAACAAAAACAAGGCATTTTACATCTGATTCAGAGAAAAGGAAAAAGAAAAAAGCAAACATGCTTGAGAGAATCATATGAATACAACCAATTACCTTGTTTCTTTAAAGCAAATACACTGGAGCTGTCATAAAGACCTCAGAAGAAAGGCCTGGAGATCTACTTCTGAAAAACCAGGCCCTGAGAACCTGTAGAGCACAGTTCTGCTCTGACACACAGGGGTCACCATGACTCACAAATGACTCAACAGCAATAGCTATCACAATGACAAAGGGGTAAAGTGTTTGACAATTAATAAACATCCACTGATCATTTCCAAACAGGGTACACTGAATGATTTTATGTACATTTTCCAGTTAATACTTCTCTTATATGTTAAATGACTTATCTCAATGACCTAATATTTTAACTAACCTAAAGAAGGTTTAAAAAAAAACCCTAAATTTACATATCTTGATGGTGATCACTTCTTGATGCCTTTTTCTCTTCTTCCTTTCACTAAATCGAGTCAAATATCTGACAGATTAAAATATTAAAAACATTGGTCAGAAAATAAAATTCAGCATCTGTAATGTGTTAGCAACATAAGGATCTGAAAGCCATAGGCTAGAGAAGTGTAAGACTTGGTCCTTAGCCTTAGGAAGATTATAATCTGTTCACAGAGATAAAGATATACCTTAAAGACAAATAACAAAAGCACTTAAAATATAAAAGCCAAACAGAAGACATAAATAGCAAAGAATATTTGTTAACTCAGGAGGAAGGAAAAATCAGTTTAGATTTTAGTTTAGGCAGAAATTTCACAGACAAAGGAGAATGTAAACTGGGACTTACAGACAGTAGGATTCAAAGAACAGACAGGTGAGAGGTTAAAACTCTTTCCCACCAGGCACTAATCCAGAGCTCCTGCACAATTCTCCAGAACCAGACACACAGTCTCAGAAAGACACACAGAGAGCTGAAAAACAGACATAGCACATAACACAAATGTCCTGCCCTTGAGGAGCAGCTATGTCTACTTAACATTCGGGGGGTGGGGGGAGACAGTTACTGTCAAGTCGATTTTGACTCATGGTAACCCCGTGAGTGTCAGAGTAGAATCATGCTCCATAACATTTCCAATGGCTGATTTTTTGGAAGCAGATGGTCAGGCCTTTCTTTCAAGGTGCCTCTGGGTGGACATGAACCTCCAACCTTTTGGTTAGCAGCCAAGTGCATTGATTGTTGGCACTAAGGACTCCTAACTTTCCAACCAGTCACTAATTATTTGGATGAAGGAAAAGAAGGGCCCAGGAAGACCTAGTGACTTGTTCAGGGTCTCACAGCTATTCCATAAAGCTGTGACTAAAGCCCTCACCACTGACCCTGGGTCCAAAACACTCTCACTTACAGCTGACTTGGTTGACTTAGTGACTAAAAACTGTGTTTGGCTTCTGTGTAGAGTTCTGCAAAAAAAACAAGTTGTGTGGCTTCAGCAAGGCATTTCCCTCCACTGGGGTCCATGTTTCCTCACTTGAAAACTGGGGTGAGGGGAATCAGAAGGGGTACATTAGATGAAGGTGATGCTTCCAAGTTGTATTCAGCTCTAAAGTCTCAGGTTCTAACCCAAATATAGGAGCCCTGGTGGCACAATGGTTAAGCGCTTGTCTGCTAACCAAAATGGTGGTTTGAACCCACCAGCTGCTCCATGAGAGAAAGATGTGGCAGTCTGCTTCCATAAAGATTTAAGGCCTTGGTTCAACCCACCAGCCACTCCTCAGAAGGAATGTTGAGCAATCTACTTCCGTAGTGATACTGCCTCAGAAACCCAAGGAGGGGTTGCTATGAGTCAGGTCCAACTCGATGGCACATAACAACAACAACAACAACAATCTGTCATAGGGTTGCTATTAGTAGAATTCAACTCACTGGCATATAGCATCAACAGTCTAGTTCCAGTTTGTGCTCTTAAACACTGAACTATTCTACCTATATACCTTCTGTTGTTTTAAATGAGCAAAGTAAGAAAGCTCATGTCTTTCTCATCATAGATGTAATCTCATTTCCTCTTCACAAGCCTTTGAGGCAGGTATCATCCCCATTTTACAAATAAGGAAACAGACTCAAAAAAGAGTGACTTGCCCAGATAGTGGGACAGCTTGCAACTGAACCGAAATTTGTTGATTCAAAGCCCAGTGCTCTTTCCACATCATAACTGCATGCGCCCTCTTTTTACCTCCCTTATTAAACAAATATTTCAAAGTCCTATGAAGCACCAAGGAGCTCTGGTGGCATAGTGCCTAAGACACTTGACTACTAACCAGAAGGCTGGCAGTTCAAACCCACCAGCCACTCCATGGAAGAAAGACTGGGCAATCTACTTCCGTAAAGATTTACCGCCTCAAAAACCCAAAGGAGGTCACTATGAGTTGGAATCAACTCCACGACAGTGAGTTTAGTTTGAGTATGAAGCACCAGACACAGGTGGAAACAGAGATGTCCATTTTCCTCCAGAAGTTCACCATCTAATGGAGGAGACAACCATGACACAACAAGTTTGCTTTGCTGGGGTATACACACAAAGCTCTGAGAACACAGAGGGCCACATAACCAAGACTAACCAGGAAAAGTGGAGCTTGGCTTTGAAGGACAGGTGGGAGTTGGCCAGCCAATGAATGGGGCAGGGTTAAGACAGCCTGGGCCCCTGGAGAACTGAAAATAATTCCATACATCTGGAGTTGCAGGATGCTTGGGGGTGTGGTGAGAGATGAAGCTGGCACCAGGTACACAAAAGCCAATCAAGACTTGCCCAGAGGACCATGATAGTATAAGCTTTATCTAAAAGGGAAATCTATGTGCATGTGTGTGGAGAACTCTTAGAGCAAAGAGAAGATGGCACTTGGTACACAATATTTAGGCTATTGTCTCACTATGGTCTTTGCACTCCTATACTCACTGCCATCAAGTCGGTCCCGACTCATAGCGACCCCTTCTTGGGTTTTCTAGGTGGTATCACTATGGAAGTAGATTGCCCAACCTTCCTTCTGAGGAGTGGCTGGTCCATTTGAACTGCCAGCCTTCTGGTTAGCTGTCAAATGCCATAGGCACTGTGCCACCAGAGCTCCCTAGTGCCTGAAAATCTGCATGGTCTGGGCAGCAGTAACATCCAGAACTCAAGATGAAGTTACAGGAATCAAATTTTGATTGGGTCACTCATGACCATCAAAAATTGCATCACATATCTTCCTCCACCCAAAAACCTGCCACTCAGCCCCATCTTATCTAGCAGCTAAGTTCTCCTACAGATCTGCCACCAGCAATGTGCTTCTTGGTCAGTCACTTCTGCTTTTGATGCCTCAGTTATTCGATATATAAAATGGGTACAATGTACCCTATCTCAAATGAGTGTTAGAAAGATGAGAAGTAGAACAGCAGAATGGTGGGCAGTAAAAAGTAAGGGAATCTGAGGTCTAGAACTGATTGTCCCAACAGAATGTGTGTGTGTTCTTTCCACAGCTTTGGAAAAGCCATTGTATCTCGCTGCCCCTCAGTAACTATCTGCAAAAAGTTAAATAGGATAAACTTTTTCCTGCCTTTTGTAACCTTGGCTACCTCCAAGATTACACTGTTTTAACATTCCAAATATCTTGATTCTAAGTTGCACATTTTCCCATATTTTTGTATCTCTGAAATTGCCCTCCTCCCTTTACAATGTATGGTGTGTCAGTTTAAATTATTTTTTCTTTCGTTGTTGTTGTTATATGCCGTCGAGTCGGCCCCGACTCAGCGACCCCTCCTTGGGGCAGTATCACTATGGAAGTAGGATTGCCCAACCTTCCTTCCGAGGAGTGGCTGGTGGGTTTGAACCGCCAGCCTTCTTGGTTAGCAGTCAAGTGCCTTAGGCACTATGCTACCAGAGCTCCTTTTTCTTTCGTAGTGATACATAAAATAATGGCATGCCCTACAATCAATCATGGCTTAGGTTTGCTGAGACATGCTGAGTTAAAGCTGCCCTTGTTTCCAGTTCCCTTTCCCCACTAGTCAAGTTCAGAGAAGTCCTGGTGGCACAGTGGTTGAAGAGCTCAGCTTCTAATTGAAAAGTTGGCAGTTTAAACCCACTAGCCCCTCCGAGGAAGAAAGTTCAGAGAACTCAATAGAAACACATGCCTGGAATTAAGCCAGACATTCCCTAAAACACTTGGGAAACAATCTCTCTTCTAGACTCAGCTTTTTGTATCCCAGTTGGTTGCGTGTGTGTGTGTGTGTGTGTGTGTGTGTGTGTGTGTTTGTGTGTCCCAGTTCACCCTGTGAGCTCCTTGAGGGCAGGAATTCCATCTCATTCATCTCTATTTCCCCAGGGCCCTGCACATTTGTCAGATCTCAGTTGACGAAATTAATCAATCTTGTGTGGTTAAAGCCATAAAACTGCCCCCTTCTTGGGAAGATTCAGCAAGTCACGTGCTGACTATTCCACACCCCTCCCCAAGACCCTCACTGAGATTTGGACATGGAGATTGCCACTCACCAGCACATCCCTGAAGAGTAACTGCGGCCCGGAGTGCACCGTCCAGTCCACCGCGCCACTGTTTGGAATCTTGATGCGAATGACTAGCACCTGGTTCTCCATGGCATAGAAGGGGCCAAGGGCCAGCCACAGCATTACAGATCAAAGGGGCTCACATCCTGCGGTACGGGGTACCCACTGGCCCCTGGTTTAGGCGGGGGCTCAAAAAGGAGGCAAGAGGGTTGGGGGAGGAAGAGGGTAGAGGATGGAAAGAGACTTCTGGAGGGAGAGGGGGGAGTGAAGAGAGGTGAGGTGGTCAGGAAGGGGCCCACAGGCAAGAAAGCAGGCTCTGTGAAGGATGAGGGGTGATAGGGAGCAGGGGGCAGTAGGAACTAGCAGAAGTCTGGAGGTTCTATAGTTGGAGAAGGAGGCAAGACAGGATCGTGAAAGCTCTCTGCTGTCTGGGTGGATGTGAGGAGTCAGCAGAACGAGGACTCCGTTTTGGGAAATACAGCGGCAGGTGTCCACCCCTCCTTAGTGGTATGGGGACTCTCCCCGACTGGAAAGGACTGAGTCTGAGGCTGTTAGGATGGAGCCCCAGAGACATCAGACCAGGAGAAAGTCCAGGGGGCCCCCTGCGAGGGGGTCAGAAGGTGGAGTCCTCCGCTCCACCCTCAGCCAGAGGGCGCGGCGCACGCAGGCTCAGCCCCGGCCGGCCGAGGCCGTGCGTACCTGCTGCGGCAGCGGCGACGGCGGCGGCAGCGACGGCGGCGGCGGGAGGAGTAGGAAGGCGACGGCGAGAACACTGTAACTCCGGAACCAAAACGCGCAGCGCCGGAACCCCGGGAGCCGAAAGCGGGGCCCGCCTCCTGCGGCTCCATGTTGGAAAAGGGCAGCTCCAGGCTGGGCACGCCCCCGCTCCTTGGGAGGTCGGCCATCGGGAATGAGCGACTGGCGACACGGACCCAGCGTGAGAGTGAGTGTAGGGCTGGGTCCTGCCCACTCACGAGTCCCATGTCCCAAGTGACTGCCCAAGGCGACAGGGTAACGGCCCTTGCGTTTTCGACCCCAATTAAAGTCAGCGAGGTGAAAAAAAGCTAACAAACGAAGGCGTAAACTAAACTAAGACTCACGGCCGTGGAGTCGGATCCGACTCATAGTGACCCCTCGGTTTTCCGAGGCCGTTCTCTACGGAAGTAGCTGGTGGGTTTGAACCGCCAGCCTTCTGTTTAGCAGTCAAAGACCTTAGGCACTACGCCACCGAGCTCCCAAACTAAAATTGGAGCCTGCGAAAAGCAAACTGACAATTCAAATTGTGTACTGTTTGCTTTTACAGATCCTCAGAAAGACAGGGCTACAGCTCCCCTACTTTGTCAAAACTTTCGCCTTTTTTGCGGGTTGTGTATCAAATAACTAAGAGCAAGGCAAGAACTAAAAAAAAAAAAAAGTCATTTCTTTTTTTTAACCTTTTCTAAATCGCAAGTGCAGAGAATCATTTTCCTCCAACATTAGCAAAGCCTATATGGATTATTTTTGGCGGAGTTCTTTTCCCTCTCTATTCAGAAGCAACGGGAAGGAAATTCAGTGAACAATTTAACTGCCTGAGTAAGGCTGCAGTAGTAGCATCATTTTCTCTTATTAAACCGTGCAAAAATATCCAGTCTAATCCATCAGTTGTCGACTAGATTGCAGTGCTTACGTACTCGCTGATGTCACTGCAGAACAATAACCCTTGGTTATTTTTAAATGCCTTGTTACCTTACATTTTGAAGTGCATCATCTTGATCTGTGGTGCCTACACATAAGTTTGCTTACAAATTGCAATGTGTAGATTTGCTCTTTAACTTTTTCTGATGAAAGTACACATACTGGCTTTAATTTGGGGGATTGTATTTTGTAACTGGGGAGGGGTGTCAGTTTTTCCTTTAACCATCAGATAGTTGACTAAATTAGAAAAAAATGATTAAAATGTTCATCAAGTTCACTGTGATAGCAAAAAAATTTCTGTGTATTTTTTTGTGCCTGGGCTGCTATGAAAGAACGATCTCTTTTCAGTTCTTGTAATTTAATAGCTTACATAGAAATTCATTTAGTCAGATCCTCCAGATATTCTAGGAATTGCCTCTTTCCACTTGTACTGTAGTCCTGTGAAAAATAAATCTTTTGCCCAATGCATTTTTTTATTGAAAGTGTATTTTCTATTTTTTGAGAAATTAGACCACAAAACTAGAGATTTTCTATGAACCTATGATTTGTTAAAATGTCTTTATTCATAGTACCGTGGGGACAACCAGCTCAATTTGCCAAATTTGCATACATACTCTGAAGCTTTTCTTAGACTAATGGCAAACTCAAAGCACTTTCCTAATATCTCCAGAGCCAGATGTAATCACACTTCAGTTCTTGATAGCCTTTATATAGTAAGAAATCTTAATCTTTATGGTTTTAGCAGAGATATTCCAGAAAACTAGAACTGTCATAGCAAGAAATATCATGTTGTTGTTATGTGCAGAGTCGAACCTGACTCATAGCGACCCCTCCCCTCCCAGGCAGTATCACTATGGAAGTTGATTGCCCAACCTTCCTTCCGAGGAGTGGCTGGTGGGTTTGAACCGCCAGCCTTCTGGTTAGCAGTCATGTACCTTAGGCACTATACTACCAGAGCTCCTAAGAAACATCATAGTCACAGATAATACAAAACTATTCCACTTGGGATCATAAATGATAAATTAACACTTCTTTTTTTAAAAAAAAATCATGATTTGGGTGGAAGTTTACAGAGCAAATTCACTTTCCATACAGCAGCTCACATACACTTTGCCTCATGACATTGACAACAATTTACCACAATGTAACAGCTCTCTTCCCACTTCCTCTCCGATAGTTACCTCTTCCCTGTGTCCTTCCCTCCATGCACTTCTGCCCCCTGAGCTGTCTCCCTGAGCGTACATAGCCCTTCTATTCTCTAGTGATTGATCTCTCCAAGGAGTGCATCTACCTAATGTAATGTTCAGCTCATATGCCTGTTTTTTGTTTGGCTGGAAACCACAGGACTGGGTTTAGTTCCAGACCTGAAAGGTAGCTAGGAGCCAATCTCAGTGGTTCCATCAGGCTCTATAAGACCAGCAAACCTGGTTCCTTTTTTTTTTTTAAATGATTTTGAGTTTTGTTCCACATTGTTTTCCCTCTCTATCCAGGATCTCTTACATAGATCCCTCTCCAAGTGGTTGACAGTGGTAGCCAGACACCATCTAGTTCTTCTGGTCTCATAGCCGTATAGGCTGAGGTTCACATGGTGTACCTGTACCACTTGCTTGGACTAATTATTTCCATGCATCTTTGGTTTTCTTCATTCTTCTTTGCTCTGGACAAGGAGAGACCCATTGTTACATCTAGATGGCCGCTTGCAAGCTTTTAAGATACCAGTCACTACTCACCAAAGTAGAATATAGAGCAATGTTTTGTGTAGTATGTTATGCCAGTTGAGCTTGGTGTCCCTTGCAACTATGATCCCAAGCCCACAGGTCCAACTACTCACTCCCTCTGGGTAGCTGGCTGTGGCCAAGAAGTGACTACAACCTTGTCCCTTGTCAGCTCTACTATATACCTGGGAATTCTTACAGAACATACAAATACACTTGTAGAAACATTGTCTGCCAACCATATACATAGTCTTGGGCACACTTCCCCCTGCATAGACATACCTAATAGTTCATTCAGCCTGTCCATCCATCTCTCTACCCGTATATCCATGTTTGCCTTTGCTGACAATAAATTAACACTTTTTGATCTTATCAAATAGAATAAGCTCTGTTGTCTGAATTTAAAGTGTATTTAATATTCAACATTGAAGTTCTATGTAATCTTAAAATTTTTGCATGCAATAGATGTGGTTTTTAAATTTTTTATCTTTTTTGAATAATGGGTATAAATCAAGAAAGTCATCTCTTTTTATTACTTTGCTCTCAGTCTTGAATCCTTACCCCAGAATCTGATCCATTCCTTAAGTGCTACAACCCAACTTCAAGGTACCATTATATATCTCTCCTAATCCGTTTCCATCATTGTTCCTACTCCAAACAAACAAACAAAAAAAAAACCTCCAAACTTACAACCGTTGAGTCGATTCTGACTCATAGCTGAATCAATTCTGACTCATAGCAACCCCCTTGGGTTTCTAAGCCTGTAAATCTTTACAGAAGTAGATTGCCCCATCTTCCTTCCACAGAGCATCTAGTGGGTTACAACTGCTGACCTTACAGGTAGCAACCAAATGCCTTATTCAATATACTACCAGAATTCTTTTGTCCCTACTACTAACAGTCTATTCTCAACCTGATTGACAGGATCAGAATAGGTCATTCATTAGCTTAAAACTCTCCAGATGGCTTCTGTAGATGGAGGGGAAAAAGAAAAATTATTTTCTAAGCCTACAAAACTATACTCACTGTACCTGTTCACTAGCCACACCCTCTGAACTCTCCAGCCTCATGTACTACTCTCCCTCATTCACACCAGCCTTGTTCTCACAAGTCATGTATCTCATCTCAGAGCCTTTGTATTTGCCATTGCCTCTTCCTGGATCACTCTCACCCAAGATACCTCCATGTCTCACTCTCTCATATTCAGCAAACCTTGACTCAAATGTCACCTTCTTCCTGAGTTTTTTCCTTAGGGCACTATCTAATATTAGAAACCAACCCCACTTTGCCCCACCTAGAGATACAAGTGAACAGGTGTGCACAATCCCTAATCCCCTCCCCTAGTTTTTCTCCTAGAACAAAACCAAACCTAACCCACTGACAAATGGTGGATTTCCACATATAAAAGAATGAAGTTAGACACCTGCCTCACATCATATGCAAAAACTAATTCAAAATAGATCAATGATCTAAATATGAATGCTAAAACCATAAAACTCTTAGAAGATAATATACAGGTAAATCTTCATGATCTTGAATTTAGCAGTGGATTCTTAGGTACAAGACCAGAAGCATGAGCAAGAAAAGGAAAAATAGATTGGATTCATTCATATTAAAACTTTTAATCAAAGGACTTCAGGAATGTGAAAAGACAACCTACAATATGGAAGAAAATATTTTCAAATTATGTATTTGATAAGAAACTTAATTTTCAGAAAATGTGAAGCACTTTTGTATTAATATCAAAAGGAAAACTCAAACAGCAATTGGCCAAAGGAAAGCAGAAAAAGATTTAATTTCATGTTGCTAGGTTTCTGGAAGACAGCTACCTGGACAACTGGAAGAGATCCATATTTGTACCCATTCCAAAGAAAGGTGATCCCACAGAATATGGAAATTATCAATTAATATCACATGCAAGTAAAATCTTACTGAAGATAATTCAAAAATAGTTGCAGCAGAATATTGCCAAAGAGCTTCCAGAAATGCAAGCCGAACTCAGAAGA